ATAAGAGGTTGGGGGTGGGGAGTGTGTGCGTGTATGTGTGTGTATGCATGTGTGAAGTGTTTCAGGGGTGAGTGTGGTAGGGTTGTGGGGAAGCTGTCTCATCATTTATTTATACAGTCTACAGAAGAAGGGGTTAGCGGCGAGGGGGGGGGCTGCCTTCTGTACACCGCCCGGGGAATACTGCAGGTCAAGAGTTGTTTTTCTAGCTACCAGCGCAATTCTTTGTCTGAAAGCATGAAGCCAGTGAATCAACACAACATGCTGCACTGATCTCCTGTTCTAATGACATGTTGTATCAACGTCTGTCTCATGAACGCAGAGAAACTCAGTCGTTCCTCTGGCTGCTTCCTGGTAAAGCTGTTGACAGTGGCTGAGACAGCAACACAAAATGTGCTTGGGTTGCTTCATGTTCTCTGATTAGAAATTGATTATATACACATATGATTGTTTTTTTTAAACTAGAGACTGGGAAAATATTTAAAATCAAGACCTTTGTTTGAAAACCTGGGAACAGTTCATACAAATTGCCTGTTTTTTCGGCTTCTCTGTGTATTTTCTTTAAAGAAGTTGACCAAGTCCAAAATAAGGACAAACAAAGCCACTGTTTTTAAAACTTCCTCCTTCTTTAATCTCTTGAAAATGGAAAGTATGTGCAGGCCAAAAACAGTGCACAATTCTAACAAGCTTGAAAGTCACATTTTCATATGACCACCTTTATTCTTCAACACAGCCTGAACTCTGTTAGGGAAGCTTTCTTCTTCAAGGACATTCAAAGCTCTTCTTTGGATGTTCGCTGCCTTTTGTTCCATCCTATGATGATCCCACACCGCTTCAGTAATGTTGTGGTTTGGGCTCTGTGGAGACCAATCCATGACTGCGAGTGTTTAATTTAGTGTTTCCTGTGCAGGTTTGCTTTTACTGCCTCACGGTGTGTTTGGGATCGTTGTCATGGCCGTGCAGAATTCCATCAGTTTGGGAAAGATCCCCAAACCCTGACACAGGCTCCACTGTGGTTTACACCCAGTGTTGGACTTCCTCCGTACACAGTGATCTGAACCAAAAACATTTGCCTCCATCACTCCATAAAACTTGTTGCCACTGATTTTTAAATTCAGTTTTTTGACAGATTGTTAATTGCTACATAGGTTTGTATCTTAAAGAAATAAATATTCCTCAGAAAACGGTCAGGTACAGGACTGAAGAGTATCAGTGCTCGGCTGAAACAAAAACTTTGGACTGCGTCAGAAAGCCTTTAAAAAAAAAGTCTGACCCCTTGGAAGCAAAATATAGTAAAAAAAACATGGTGGTTGGCTCAAGACTTTTGCACAGCACTGTCTGTTGTTGAGGTTTATTGTTTGTTTTCTGTGCATTTTCACTCAAGATTGAGAAAAATAAATTTGGGCCTCATTGGCGCTGAGAGCACCGAGCCAGCGCTCGTGTTTTACAGCTGTTAAATGTTCGTAAATCTAATCAAACCATATATTGATTTTTCTCCAGCTTTGGATAAATTACAGCCTAGAAAAATAGTCGTCATGTAGCCGTGAGCAAAATGAGAAGCACGGCTGCTGTAAATTTTCTGTGGTGATTGGTCGGGTGTATAAACGTCTTAATTACTGACTGAATGTCCTCACAAATCCTCTGAAGGTCCCGTTCAGTGCTACAAAAACAGAAGACAGTAGTGTTTATTGCTGAGACCTGAGGTGTGTGGACAGAAGTAATGCACACAGTGCTCAGCAGGACACAAACACAAACACGCAAGAAACAAATAACCAGGACATCCAGGATTACAGTGGACATTGTGGCGCCCGCTGGAAGACGGCGTGGAGAGGGGTGCACCTGTCCTGCAGGTGAGTCACAGAGGGCCGATGCCATCTCCACAAAAACAGGAAATTATTAAACAGGCAGAATGATGCTTAATTGATGAATGCATGCATATCATTGGAGCACAACTTACCTAAAGAAGTTTGATAACACTTTTTATTTCTTACTCTAAACTTTCGTGAAGCTTCTTATTCGTGTAGTATAGTGAAAGCTTGTGAAGCCATCTCAGCTATGAACCGTCCAGACTCGAGATAATGAGAGAACCCACTGTGTCGCTGACAGAGACATTAACATGAACACTGACAGCACTGATTAAATCAAAGATGCGCAACGCGCCGCAGTCGTTGTATGACTTTCAAATGTTCCCATAATTAGGTTTCATTGCGTTTCTTCAGCAGTGACACGTGAAGCACGTGAAATGTAACTGTGAGGTGTAAACAGTACTCATGTATGCTAATAAAGATGGAGTGTGGGTTTGAGAGGAGCTAGGTGCCAGGATCCCTGCAGCAGCAGCAGCGGCGAGCCTGTTAGTGAAGCCACAGCTGTGAGGACGCAATCAAAGATGAACCCTGCTCCTGCTGTTGCCTTTGTTCCTACACATCACAACACCTCACACAAAATGCATCAGCATAAAGAGCGTCTCTGTGTGCTAGGCGAGCAGAAAGCAAAGGTCATTTCATAGCCCGTCTCCTACCTGAGAGCTGCCCTCACATCTACACTTTCATGCAGCACAGCTCCTCTCCCACCACCACGCTCGCTCTGTTAGTCAGAATCCAGGGTGGAGAACATTTCGCAGTATATGTGGGCTTAATTCACCCAAAATGTCTCTGAACATGTGATTTAGTGCTCGACACGCTGATTAAAGAAACAAATGTTATTCTTTCATTCATCAGAATCACAGGTAATGTTCCTGACATTCACCTGCCCTTTACTGAGCACCACAGGAAGGTCGACATCAAATGTATACGTATTTTTTAAAAAACATGGCAAAATATTTTGTCTCTTAAGTGACGCCAGTTTGAAGTCTTCTGTACAAACTGCTTATTTTTATTTTTCAGAAAAGGTTTTGAATTTTTCATGATTGAATGGTTTTATATATATTTGGTTATTTTATACCTCATGCTGAATGATTCACAGGTCACTAAGCGCTTTACTGTGTCTCTATCCTTTAGTGCTCTTCCATGCAAAGTGTTCATTAGCAGGCCAACCTTTTACTTTGAATTACATTACAGCTCAGTTCGCTGCTCGCCTGCAAGTCTAAGTGAAGGAGTGAGTTGGATCATTAGTCATTGTGCCATAGCACGCCGGCCAGCAAGGTACTCAGTCGTTCAGCTAAGCTGCTAATACTAGCCAGCCGATTGGTCAGCATCCATCCATCCAGTCAGTGACCCCATCAGCCTGCAGGTGCTGAGGTACCTGAGCTGCAACTGGACCTGAGTGATGAGACAGACTGGAAACCATCTGCTTCTCTTTAAGTCACTCTTCTTCTGTCCACCTTTCATTTGTTCTTTAGTAGATTTAGTCGATGTTTTCTATTCTTCTGGTCTCCACTGTTCATACTTAACTTCCTCTGTAACATAAATATTGTCTTATTTTGCAATTATACTTACTGTACCTCAGTCTGTACCATAATCTGGCCACTTTCTCCTCCCCTGCAAACTACAGTGCATGAAATCTGCATATTCATTCATAAATAAACCGGATGCAGTTCTTTGTTCACGTGTTGCCTTGTTATGATGTTATGATGATCTGGTTTGGAGGTTTTGAGTTAGAACTTCTTTTACATGCGACGTTTTTGTTAACATGGACGCTATTTTGTCAGCAGGTGTTCCTCTCTGGTGCTGCAGAGGATTTGTAATTTTACAGCTATTCATATTTTCACCTGTCGAATAACCTTTTAATTAACCTATCCATTGATTATCTCTGTGTGGGGCTGTGCAGCTTTTCCATTTATTTTTCTTGTAAAACGGTTGGACTTTAAAACTTCTGTCGAAGATTGTTTCACCTTCACAGTCTCATACACTGCTGTGTGTGTGTGTGTGTGTGTGTGTGTGTGTGTGTGTGTGTGTGTGTGTGTGTGTGTGTGTGTGTGTTGTGATATCGACAGGCTGCTGCCCGCGGCTTTCTTTGTTATTACTGTAGCCAATAGAAAGCCTGTCCACATGCCACCTGCAGCCTAGCTTACTTTATATATTAGCTTGTGTTTACAGAGCTGTGTAACCGGTGGATCTGACAGAAGAGCTGCTTTATCCAGCAAACCTACATTTCTCTTTGTTCCACTTGAAATGACCTTTTTCATTTTGCTGTTTTGAACATGACAGACAGAGTTGAGCTCAGTCAAATATTTATGGAACAAGTCCGACTCTCTGAATGTTTCCGGTCTTTTAGGAAACTGTTTATTATTATTATTGTCACACTGAGGAGCTCCTTAGTTTCCTGCTTCATTCCTGGGAGAGATAATAATTCCTTTGGGGTCATGTCAGGAAGGGCATCCAGCATAAAAACAGCTGTCAAATCAAACATGCAGTGCTACCCGCTGAGGTGACCCCTGATGAATAAAGGCTGTCTGAGGATTTGAACATCATTGCAGTAACGAGCTGATGATGAATTTAAAGCAGTGTTTAGAACATGCACTGCAGAAGTGAGCGCACGTGTGTGCGTGTGCAGTAACTGGCCTTCGGCTGCATTTAAGCTCTGTCAGGTGTTGGGTAGCCTGCTGTGAATGAGGCAGAGGATCATTTGAGACGGAGCATCAATGCTGATTGAATTGGCTGGTCCTGAAAAAGACATGCAGGGTTTTGTCAGACAGTGGAGAGACAGGAGGAAGCTGCTGATCTAATTGTAGCTCTGAATGGACGTCTGTTTGCCTCGTCGCTGATGAACCCTTAAAGGGTACGTGGTGTTTTTGGAGGATTAGCCAGTTGGCTAAATCACCCAGTCACTGATAAACATAGATGGCAGCTATTGCATGTCCCTTTAGTCCACTGTAGTAACACTGAAACAAACAAAACACAAAGTTGTTACATTTTTCACATTTTTGCTCTAATTGCTTTGGCAGCTGTGGATTTGTGTACACGAGTGGAGTGGGAGTCCCACAAATGATAACCTGCTAATTTAGCTGAATGCTGCAGTAAACACACTCACCACTGCTAATAACCATCGCTTCTTTCTTTTAACAGTCACAGATGAAGACACGGTGAAGAGATACTACGCTAAGTTTGAGGAGAGGTTTTTCCAGACCTGTGAGAAGGAGCTTCTGAAAATCAATACTTTCTATTCAGGTATTTATTTACTTCACTTACTCTCGAGACAATAATTGGCGGAGATTATATTAAATCAAGTCGATTACAAGAGGTTGTCTCAGAAATTTCATGGTTACTATTCAGCTGGCAAATTTAGAAAAATCAATGTTAAGCAATATCACCTTAACTTCATTTAAGAACAATACTTCCATCTTTGAACGAGCTCTGGAACTAATCACAAATCAATGCTTTAACCTGTCTTCTATAATCACATATTGCATGTAAATATGTAAAGACTCGTATCAGCTGTATCTTCATTTACTTCTTAGCATTTTTGCATAATTCACACTGTTTATTTACTCTGTGCTGAGTTCAGACATGGCCAGCAGTAGTCGCGTTTCAGAGCAGGCCTGCCTGTGTGTATTTCAGGGAGTGAAGCGGGGAATGTGTGTACTGTGTAACATGAGATGGAAGCCATAATATATTCTGGTATTCTGGTACCAGAAGGTCCTGAGCTCCAGCTCTGAGTGAAGTGATGTTATCTAACAGCAGACCGTGCTTCCCCTGGAGGCCGTTAATGAAACTGCAGACTTGCTGGGTCAACGGCCGGCCAAGGCTGACCGGGAAGATTGTCCCAGCTCGTAATGATGGGGTGTTTCTGGCAGACTGATGGCGAGAGCAGCAAACAGACGTGGTATAAATCACTTTGGACCTCGTTACCATGAAGCTGAACCAACTTTGAATGTCTTGATTTTTCTCAGAGCGTTGCTGTTACCAGCGCTCTTTCCTTACAAAGGCAGCTTATAGAGGAGAGCGCGGTGTCACGGTTTGATGAGAGAAATCATCATCAACATATTTAAATGACCACCAACCATCGTGATTTTTACTTTCTACAATAATGAGAGAAAACGCTACAAATTTTGAAACTTAAACTGCTGTTTGGGTTCAGTTCTGTTGTTTAGATGTGATATCACCTATAAATAAAACAGACATTTTTCATAGTGCAAGTCTGAGGTCTTTTTTTCTCATTAAACGAGAAAAAAAGAATCATTTAATAAAACTGAGTGGGCTGCGAACTAAACTTAGAGGATAGAAAGTATCGATCCCATCACGCTAGTACGCCCATATACTAATACCAGCGTTGGTATTGATACTATCAATATTTAGATCAATCTGCCTACCTCTGCTTTATAATTGGCAGGTTGGTGCCTGTTGGTAGAGCTCAGTAGTGCCTTTAAAAAAACAAAAATTGCATGTTATTGTCTGTCAGTGAAGGACTATGAATAACGAATAACAGAAGAAAACAGTCATTTCGGTGTCATACGTCTCAGTGTGGCATGTGACATGAGTCACATCAGGGTTACAACAGTGAGTCAGTGAGTCCTCAGCAGCTCCGAGGTCGGTTAAAGCTGTGCATGAAAACATCAACATCTCCTGTTTATCTTCCACACACAGGAGGAGGGAGCAAGAAATTACAGAGCTGTGTGTGTGTGTGTGTGTGTGTGTGTGTGTGTGTGTGTGTGTGTGTGTGTGTGTGTGTGTGTGTGTTTAAAGCAGAGATGGAGATAAATTGCGTGCTGACTTTACATCAGACACTTGCCTCGACTGAGCTTTCTCCCTCTGAAAGGGGTCCCTGACCTCTCACAGCCATCCTGCTGCAAAGCGCTAGAATCCAGTCTGTTGGACAACAACACTTTCATCATCGTGGATTAAATACACAACAAAAAGAAATGAAGAAATGCTGTTTTAGGCTGATAGGATTTCACCCTGTCACTTTCTGGAAGCTGAGAAAGAACAAAAGGTGTTTGAAAACAACACCACAGTAAAGACAACGCCGCTGAAACCTAAACCAACCAACACCTGTCTCTTTCAGCTTCATTAGCCCCACACAGATGAACTGTCCAGCCACATCTTCTGATGTGACGCTGCACTCTTGACCTCAAGGCAGTCTGACTTTCTCACGAGCATTAAGTGGAGCATTGGTTCGTATGCTTCTGTGCCTGTTGAGGGATTACTGCGAGTTTGGATGTCGAAGCAAAGTTTGCGCTTTCCCACGATGTGACATCGAATAGCATAAAGAGGAAAAATCTTTGTTGGGCAGGTTCCACTCTTGTGTAGAAAAAGAAATACTCAGGGTTGTAGTAATATACCCTGAAAACATTGTTTATGTCGACAAAGAAATTGTGTCATTCTACTTTTGGATTGACGAGCATGAGGATGTAATGGAAAGCAGGCCACTAAGCTGCCATCTACGTGCAAACAATGATAAACAGATGTTAGCTTTACTTCTATTTTCAGTTTGAAAAAGAGTTTTATTCAAATACATTGAAGAAAATGAAGAAAACAGGAAGTTAAATGAGAAGAAACTGGCTTCATTTATTAATGATTAGTTATTCTTTTTTTGAAACAGGTTGTTCCACAAACCAGCCGGATGCAGGAAAATGTATGTTTGCACACAAACAAGAAACACTACCATGTGAACAGAGCAGGAAACAGCAAAGAAAAGGGAAAAAGAGGGGGCTGCAGGTCTTATTGGCCTGCTACAGAGAGTAGGTGGCTTTGAAAAGAACCTTGTAGGTTTGGGAGGACACCAAACACCGGTTCACATCAGAGCAGGCCTAAATGATTAGTTATTCTGACCTGTTTCGGGTGGCTGTGGTTCAGCATATAGAGCAGGTCATCTGCTAATCACAAGGCTGATGGTTCCCTGGGTACTCCGGTCTGCATCCCAAGTGTCCTTGAGCAAGTTGCTGAACCCCGAGTTGCTCACGATGCATTCGACGTGCTGTGGACGTGAGACAGAAAGCAGACAAAGCGGCGTATAAGAACCAGTCATTCACCATTTAAACAAAGAGCAGGAGGAAAATGAGAGCTGCTTGTTGGAAAAGTGAGTTGAACTGCAGGAGAAGTTAATGAAATGCAGGTTGCTGTCCAAGCAGCGTGTGATTACCCCTCCTCTCTCATTCTGTCTCTCTGGCTGTATTAACCTATCTCTGACCCAGATAATGGTTCCTCAGTCAGCAGCATTCACAGGTCAGCCTAAGAGTCTCCATGCTTCTGCTTCCTGGAACAAGCAGAAATAAAGAATCATTTTTATTGTTATTTGCTGCAGCAGTTTTTTGCATTTTAACAATATCGAGGTTAAGCAGCAAATGACCAAAGTAAAGGCTCTAATTTTACGCAAATGCAGGAATAATATTAAGATTTCCAAAATAAAAGTCCAAGCAAACCAACAACCTGTTTTTTAACAGCTCCGCTGGGCTTATTAGGACCTTTATTATTTTTGTATTACTCTACACATCCTCTAAAATGTATAATATTCATTATAATATGTGCAAATACACAGTGGCTATAATAACAATCAACACGCTTAACAGTAGATGAAACTGGAAGTTGTGCTGTGCAAGTGTAAACGTGTGTAAACGTGTGTAAACGTGTGTGTGTGTCCACAGCACAGTATGTGAGATGTATGTGACATCCTTTCATTGTCCTTCTGCAGAGAAGCTTGCCGAGGCCCAGAGACGATTTGCGACGCTGCAGAACGAGCTGCAGTCTTCACTGGACGCTCAGCGAGAGAGCAATGCTTCGCCCGGTCTGCGGAAACGCAAGACCAGGTTCCACCTGTCGCAGGAGGAGCGCTGCAAACACCACAACATCAAAGACCTGAAGCTAGCCTTCAGCGAGTTCTACCTCAGCCTCATCCTGCTTCAGAACTACCAGGTTTTTAGTGCATCTACACACTCAGATCACTTTATGTCACCTGCAGTCGTTTGATCAGACTACATATCCTTTCCAGTCTCTTTCCAGTCTGGTGTGGTCTGTAGCTGCTGGTTTCTTCTTGTCTCCCACAGAACCTGAACTTCACTGGTTTCCGTAAGATCCTGAAGAAACATGACAAGATCCTGGATACTTCCCGCGGGGCGGACTGGCGTGTGGCTCATGTGGAGGTGGCACCTTTCTACACCTGCAAGAAGATCACACAGCTCATTACTGAGACGGAGGTGCCTACCTGCCACACGTGGACTTTACTACATGTCAGACATGTGTAGAAAAAACGAACATGTCTGAAACGAATGGTTGTTTTTGTATCCAGACCCTGGTGACCACAGAGCTGGAGGGAGGCGATCGTCAAAGGGCCATGAAGAGGCTGAGAGTTCCTCCTCTGGGGGCAGCTCAGGTCAGAATCACAGCTGATTACACTGGAAACACACCTGTTCATACATAATCAGCTATATGAACAGGTGAATAGAGGAACAAAGGTGAATGAAGTCACTCTGAACATGGCGCAGTTGTTTGTACCAGACAGGCTCGGCTGAGTATTTCCAAAATTGCTGATCTGCTGGGATTTTCCTGCACAGCCACGTGTAGAGTTTACAGAGAATGATCTGATATACTGCAGATAATATCTGGGCTAAAATGCCTTGTTGATGTTAGAAATCGGAGGAGAATAGCCAGACTGCTTTGAGCTGACAGGCTGAAGGCAACAATAACACAACCAAGTTGTGCAGAAGAGCATCTCTGAGCACACATGCCAAACCTCGAAGCAGATGGCTACAGCGTAAGGTTACAGTTCACACAGGCTCAGCACAACCAGACAAGACTGGCACTGCTGGACAGGATGCAAGCAGACGTGAAAGGATGGAGCCATGCTTGCATCCACAGTTCAGGCTGGTGCTGGTGGTGTAATAGTGTGGGGGATACTATCTTCTTTAGCACCAAGTGGCCATCATGGTAGCTCCAGCCTACCTGAGTATTCTTGCTGGCCATGTCCATCCCTTTATGACCGCAGTGTCCTCATCTTCATGGCCTCCACAGTCACTGGATCTCAGTCCATCAGAGCACCTTTGGAATGTGATAGAACTGGATATAGACGGCAAATATGCATCAACTGTCAATATAGACCAAGATCTCTGAGGAATGTGTCCAGCACCTAGTTGAGTCTAGTCTTAAATAATTAAGGCAGTTCAATAAAGAGAGATCATTTAGAAAAACTCAACATTATTTATTGACTTAAGGGATTTGATTTTCTGAGCTCTTTGGCAATTAGACTCCAATGAACCATCATAGCAGAGTCCCAGCAACAATAGTGATTAGAACAGGATCCCCAGAGTGTAGATGCTGAAGGTGAAGTTGGAGGTTAGGACAGGTGGAAGAGGGTAGCACGAACGAGAGTCCAAGTGGCAGAAGATCACTGATATTTACAGAACCGAGACTGAAGATGGGGCAAGAAAATAATCAAACCAGAGTAACAATGTCAGTGTTGAGTTTGTGGACGTGAAGAATAGACTAACAGCCTGAATTTCAAGGAAAGCAGGTCAATCAGTGGTTAAAGATCATCTTTATTGAACTTGGATAGAAGCTTCATTACTTAAGTCAAAAGTTGCTAGTGAATGTGCTTCTCATACCTCCCCTGTTCTGTAATTGTGCTGTTGCAGATGTCACCTCTTGAAGAACAAATGTTGAAATGCTTGCTGAAGAATATCCCAGCATGCAATATGTTTGCATTTATCTAACTATAAAAAAATACAATTAAAAGCAAAACATTCCAGTTTTTAAAAGAAAGAGAAATAAAGCCAGCGGGGTGAGAAAGATTGAGAGAAAGACAAAGGAAACCATCGGAGCCTTCGGTATTGATTTTATAAGTGCCTCGACTCTGTTGAACAGACGGGATATCATTCAGGAGAAAAACAAGGCTCTCCAATGCATCTTTTGCTCCTGCATTAATTACTGTCATGTCTGGTTTAAAGTGTGTAACATGTGAGCTCTCCGTGTCTCCTGTGTGTGTGATAAATATATTTATGCTTACGAGCAGGTAAAAGGAATGAAATTGGTTTAGAGTCTGTGACTCATTGCTGCATGACGTTTTGTCTAAAGCGTCTTTGGACGTGTTCGTGTGAGTCGTCACGTTAATCCGGTTTATTCCTGTCTGCCTGGTTCAGCCTGCTTTGGCCTGGACGACCTTTCGCGTGGGTCTCTACTGTGGCTTCTTCATCATTCTTGCCATCTGCTTCGTTATCACTGGTAAGTCTAAGTTACTGTTTTCCCCGGCGTCATAGTTCATCTTCATAAAGCAGTAAACATGCTGCGGTTTGTTTAGGTGCCGTGTTCTTCCGCTCTGAGAACGTCTGGCCTATGGTGCGGATCTATCGGGGCGGTTTCCTGTTGATCCAGTTCCTCTTCCTGTTGGGCATCAACACCTATGGATGGAGACAGGCTGGAGTCAACCACGTCCTCATCTTTGAGATCAATCCACGAAACAACCTCTCGCACCAACACCTGTTTGAGGTGAGAAAAAAGACGTCTCGTCTTATAGAAGATCCTGGAAAATTGCTCAAATCTCTGAGTGGCAATCATGGATTCATAAACGGTTTAGCCTGAGTAAACATGGTTGTTTAGCTGGGTAATTATGATTCAAGGAACAGATTTTCATGTAAAATAAGATTTGATTCAGTAGAAGCACTACCTTTAGATGTCCACGGGGTTTTGTTGGTGACCCAGAACTGAAAGCAGAACCTCTTTTCACTCGTTATTCTGATTTTTGGGTTAATGGTGATCATGTGTCAAAGGAGCTTTCTTTTAAAGCCATTTTTTCCTTCCTGTGCTGCAGATTGCTGGTTTCCTGGGCGTGTTGTGGTGTCTCAGCATCCTCTCCTGTCTCTACTCGCAGTACACTTACATCCCCATGCAGGCCAACCCTCTCATCCTTTATGGCTTCATGGTGCTCTTCCTCATCAACCCCTTCAAGACCTGCTACTACAAATCACGTTTCTGGCTCCTCAAATTGCTGGTCGGTTAACTCGTTTACTGGAAATGCTCCTTTAATGTATAGTAAATAGTCCACGCCCATGCTAGAGTATTGCACACTGATGTGCTTAATCACAATGAGAAAAGTAAACAAAATAGAGGTGATAGATGACGTGCCTGAAAGGGTCATTTTAGCCCGTTGCTAGGTGGTTTGTGGGCAGGTACAATCCAAATTTTGTGGAAATAAATGAGATGCTATTGTCAGGAAACTGAAATGATAGACTGCTTTCATAAGGTGTTGTAGGTTTAGAAAGGCAAAAAACAGCTCCCGGTTGCTAAGTGGTTGCCAGGGTCTGTGATGACATCACTATATACAGCTCAAAAAAAGCTAAAGTAAAAATCAGAGTTTAGCATCAAGTCAATTAAACCTGTGGGCACTGATCTAGCCACTTAAGTAGCAGAGGTTGTTAATAAGAGGGGCACCAATGAGACAGCCGCCTGCACAGGAGCGATCGTACAGGTGGGCGCCTCAGACAGTTTTTCCTGCTTTGCTGTAAGTTTGCCTTTAGCTGGGGGGAATGTCACTGCTGCCAGCATTGGGCACATGGACTGCTGTCAGGTATTGGGATGAAATCCTTGGACCCATCGTCAGACCCTGCGCTGGTGCAGTGGCTCCTGGGTTCCTCCTGGGGCACAACATCCAGGCAGCTCCTGGAGAACGAAGGAACTGATGCCATTGACTGGCCCCACGCTCTCTCGACTTAAATCCAATAGATCACCTCGGGGACATTGTGTTTCCATCCATCCAATGCTCCCAGCTCAAACTGCCCAGGATCTCAGTGATCAGGTCACCATCATGTCCTGACATTGTCAGACATGCATAAAAGCACACGGGGGCTGAAATCTGACCAAACTCGGCAAACCTGCCTCGTCAGTTTTCACTTAGATTTTTGGGTTGTCTTGAATTCAGCCCACAGTAGATTTTCGTTCCCATCAAATAATGTGGCTTCCTTTCATTCCTAACACATTGCCACATATTTTTCCAATTTTTCTGAGCAGTGTTTGGTTGCATTTGTTTCTTTGTTTCTTGCAGACAAAGAAACAAAGAAACAAATGCACAGGCAGACAGAGATTTGGTGTATTATAGTAAGATACCACCTACCTTACTTGCTAAAGGGAGTTGTGTCTTGAGTCACTGGGTATTTTGCTGAAAAGTCTGTAATTCAAACTGGATGCATGATCCCAACAGTCAGGGTTCCTGCAAGTCCAGTAACAGATGTTTACAGCTGTGAAACAGCAGCTGATACGGACTGCTTTAACAACATGAACCCAGTGCAGACACGATGAGATGGTGTAAGATCCCTGCTCTGTGTGTGCTGAGGAATGAACGCTGTCACTTTGCAGTGTCGGAGAGAAAGACACAACCGTGGCAAACAGAAGGTTTATTACGCAGACGTTTTAAGTCCTGAAGAGAAAAAATATTCTCTGGTTAAATCATACTTTCAATAAACACCAGTGAGAACATGTAGAGAACATACAGTAGCAAGCACGAGGTGTAATTAGTTTTGTTCCTGTGTTATTTTGGCATTATTATCCTAACGCAACAAAGATTTAAAATAAAAACAAAGGAAAACCGATTAGAAATAAATTTCTGAGCTGTGTCTGCTGTTCTAGCATTTTCTATTTTATTAACCTGCGATTTAAATGTGTCTGCGCACATCTGTGCATGCGTCTCTATCTCACACAATTCAGATATCCATCTCAAGCCTCATGTTTACAAAGCCCCCCCGTGTTACTCTGTCCTTTGTCTAAGCTGTGA